GATTGTACTTCAAATTTGAGGCCTTTTATTTAGTATGTTAATTAGTGATGCGCCGATCATAGCTGATTCAGAATTCTTTTATTTTTTTATTTCCTTCTTTTTTTTTTAACTAGCAAATTGGATTCTGATACTGATGCTGATTTTTAAGCAAATGTATTTATTGGCTATTTGCTTTATAACAAACAAACTGGCTTTAAACAAAAATATCTAGCCATTTGAAATTAGAGGCAACCACTGCATTTTAATCATGATCTGCACGGGCAGTTGTTTTTGATTTGATTTAGATTAATTTCAGGATTTAAAACAAAAACAGAATGGTCTGACTTTAGGTGTTATTTATTTATTTGCTACATAAAACATCTGCACGAACAAAAACAGCAGTTCTGAATGAGACGCACTCTCTGACAGCAAGTGGCGCCTATGAACAGGGTTGTCAGTTTTTCGCAATAAAACTAGTCCAATCGCGTTTCGAGGAGGGTTCCCCTGTAAAAATCTCATTCCGGGGGTAAAATACACGTTTTTCGGCAGGGATCTTCAAGTAAAATTCACATTCCAGGGACTAAATATCACGTTATTGGGGTCGCTTCAACCCACGGACATGAACAACTACCCGCGGCAACAGTGTTAAGTAGCCCAATTCCACGGGAAAACCGCGAACTTGGCAACACTGCTTATGAACCGCTGTAAACAAAGCAGAGTTGCGCTTTATACGGAAAAGAAAATGCCACTGCCATCAAAACTTTTCTCAAGACAGTACCCTTCAGTGATACATTAATATAACCCCATAAATGTAATGCATGTTTGTACTTATTTTACAGATTTTTTCGGGATCTACTGGGACAGTGATAAAGATCTACCAGTCGATCGCAATCGACGGGTTGGCGACCACTGATCTAAACTAACGGAGTGTGTTAAAATTGAAAAGACTGGATCTTTCTCCTATTAAATTCGGATAAGACAGAGATATTACTTATTGGACCAAAAGACAGTGCACAGAGTCTCGTAGATTACAATTTGCATCTAGACGGATGTTACTTCCTCTACAGTCAAAAATGTGGGTGTTAGCAAATTGTCTTTTGAAAATCATATTTCCCATGTTACAAAAACAGCATTCTTCCATCTTAGAAACATTGCCAAGTTACGGAACATGCTACATGTTTCTTATGCAGAAAAGCTAGTTCATGCATTCATGACCTCTCGACTGGTTGTCCTGCATCTTTAATAAACAAGTTACAGGTAGTCCAAAATGCAGCTGCTAGAGTCCTTACCAGGTCAAGAAAATATGATCATATTACCCCAATTTTACATTCTCTGCACTGGCTACTATTAAGTTCCGTATCAGTTACAGAATATCACTACTTACTTTTAAGGCTCTAAATGGTTTAGCTCCTGCGTACCTAACTAGTCTTCTCACGCTACAATCCATCCCGCTCCCTAAGGTCGCAAAACTCTGGACTCTTGGTAGTTCTTAGGATAGCAAAGTCCACTAAAGGAGGTAGAACTTTTTCACATTGGGCGCCCAAACTCTGGAATAGCCTTCTTGATAATGTTTGTAAATGGGTTAGCTCCTGCCTACCTAACTAGTCTTCTACCACGCTACAATCCATCCCGCTCCCTAAGGTCGCAAAACTCTGGACTCTTGGTAGTTCTTAGGATAGCAAAGTCCACTAAAGGAGGTAGAACTTTTTCACATTGGGCGCCCAAACTCTGGAATAGCCTTCTTGATAATGTTTGGGGTTGCGGGTTCAGACACACTCTCTCAGTTTAAAGGGGTCATATGATGTTGCTAAAAAGAACATTATTTTGGCTGGACTCAGATAACTGTCCGGTTGGTTCAGTGCTGGAGTACCTGCAAGAACGATTCTCAGCAGGGTTGACTCCCTCCACCTTTACGTGATGCCATAGCTGCTTACCACGCCCTTTTGGTTGGTCAGTCATTGGGAAGAAACCCGTTGGTGACATGTTTCCTCCATGACGCTTTGAGGCTGAGGCCTGCTATACACACTAGGGTTTGCAGGGCTGTTGTGGTACGTTGAGCAGGGTCATGTCTAGAGCATTTAAGCACCAGTTTTTGTTCCGTTATACAGTCGATTCCTCTCTTTATAACATACACAATGTAAATAATAGATTGATTGTGCAGTGTAGAGATATTAATTGGTCATAACAGAACTTTGTGAGATTGCAATGAATAAAGAGTGACAGCTTTTTAGTGATTATAAAGGGAGCACTCTTTGCTAGCTTTATAGGCTACAATCCATTCAAAATGTTTTTTTGTTTTTTTTTCGGGCCATACACACACGTTGCAAAGTTTCACCTGGGGGAGGCCAACCAGATTTCAGTGGGGGCCAGTGCCACCCCTGGCCACCACGTAGACCCGCCCCTGACAATGAGTGGTTGTTCCCCTTCAGGAACTCGAGCTGCGTCGAAAACGCTTTGGGAATGCCCCTGTGTACCCATGCTCTGAATCACATGTGAAATCAGTCCAATGGAATGGTGAAACGTCACGGGCGGGGTGACGTTAGAGACCAGAGAGCTTAAAGGTCCCATGGCATGAAAATTTCACTTTATGAGGTTTTTTAACATTAATATGAGATCCCCTAGCCTGCCTATGATCCCCCAGTGGCTAGAAATGGCGATAGGTGTAAACCGAGCCCTGGCTATCCTGCTTTGCCTTTGAGAAAATGAAAGCTCAGATGGACCAATCTGGAATCTTCCCTTTATATCATCATACGGGAAAAGGTTACCTCCCCTTTCTCTGCTTTGCCTGCCCAGAGAATTTTGCCCACTCATGAGAAAATGATCTACTACCGTGCGAGGCGAGCGCAATATTTTTTTTTTCCTCGAGAGACATCATGGCTTGCAAACTAGCGAAGCATGGCAGTTGCTCAGTGTTTGGATGTACAAATGAACACCAAAGTATTTTTTTAATTCCTTCATCCGAGCCTATGAAGAAACAGTGGGTTAATTTTATTTTCTCTGGTAATGCGCCGACACAACTTCCCAAAGTTTTGTATGTCTGCGCCAAACATTTCACCGACGACTGTTTCCTCAACTTGGGCCAATACAGAGCTGGCCTTGCTGAACGTCTGAAAAGAAAGTCTGGATCAGTACCAACTCTGCTTGGCTCAGCTACAAACCTCAGACAAGTAAGTCAACTAACGCTATACAATTTTGTTGCTTTACTGTATATTGTTACCTAGCTTGTTATCCTTAGAATGTGGCTGTAACATTAGCTCTGCAGCTAACAGCTAACAGCCCAGTTACTGTCGCTAATGTAAAGGTAGATAGCATCAAGTATGTGTGAATACACACACTGTAACGCGAGTGTTGTAAATTTTTTTGTTGTTTGGATAACCGTTCTGCTGTTGGTGTTATGGCGCACGCGATATCCACATTTCCAGATTGCAGAGCTTGATGTAATTGTAATAAGAAAGATTGTAAAAACTTTTAAGATATATGAAATATAAAATATGTAAACAAATAAATGATGTAATATCATTTAATAATTTCATAGATATAATTTTAAGTATTAATGTTATTCAGTAAACATTGTTACCATTCAGTAAACACCTGGAATATATACAAAGTAATAAATTGAGTACTAATTTGACCTTATTGTCTCTACACAGGCCAGCACATCAAGTGCTTGCATTCAGCTGCCTCTCTCAAGGGATGTTGCCTGCCAGAGAGACCACCTGGAAACACATACTGTAGGCACACAGTTATCCTTAAAGACTCTGTGGCCCCACTTTAGAAGTTATCTTCTGTGTTTTCTGCAAGCGCTCTGTGTGAAACGTGTCAGTCTTATTTACTGTTGTTTGTATTAACAGTGCACAATCACCTCTGTATGGCGAGCTAAACAGACAGCACTTTAGATTGTGTGTTCTTCTCTGCTAAACATTATGGGTGTGAATGCACCCGTTCGCTGTGTTGTTGTTTGGGAGCGGAGCATGCAGCATACAGTCAGCTCTCGAGGGGGCTGATTGTGCATTGTGCTCCCACCGGGCACACTTCGAGGGCACCGTCTCCCTGCCCTCGCTATAATTAGGGATGGGGATGCAGGCAATTTATGTGTGGTTTGCTTTGTAGCGGAGCACGCACAGTCAGCACTTGAGGGGGCTGGCTGTGTTCATTCATAAAATGTCGCTAAGTGCACAAGTGTGCATTACCTTGGATGTTTAGCTCTGCTCCCGCTGGCATTTCTTCTCGAGGGAAGAAAGTCTTATGCAATATAGAATCGAGTGCATTACGGGTCTGCAGCAAATAATGTCGGGGGAATCTGTGAGCAGACTGGAAGTTCCTTTTCTCTCTCTTTCCCCCAAACATGTGCAAATGTATAAATGTGTTTGCAGCCTATTTATCAAGATTCTTTTTATTACATCATATATTATAATCAGGAGCCCGGAAATGTAGCGGTTCTGGGAGGCTCGCTACCTCCTAGGAGGTCTCCAGAGCAGCTAGATCAGCCGTCCCCTGCCGGTCCTCCGCTTCATGGCACCAAGCTAGCTGTTCTAAGTATACCAGAGATCAGTCTCGAGAGACTGATTCCCTTAGTAGACTTTCTGGCAGCGTGGAAACTTCTGCCAAACGTCTCACAATGGGTCCTGCAGACTGTAGGCTCTGGTAATGGAACAGGAAGTAAACACTCCTTTGAGGAAGGAGGCCATCGAGGTCATCCCTCCTCGTGAGAGAGTCCGGTTTCTACAGCCAGTACTTCATTGTTCCCAAGCAGGAAGTTCCTCATGTTTGCTTTCAGGGGCGAAGCTTACCAATATCGGGTTCTTCCGTTCGGTCTTGCACTCTCATCCCGCACTTTCACCAAGTGTGTGGATGCTGCTCTGGCTCCTTTGTGACTCCAGGGCATCTGCATACCAAATTATATCAACGATTTGGTTATTAGCTCAATCAGAGCAGTCGGCGGCTCGGCATCAAGATGTCATCCTCACCCATATGAAAGAACTGGGGTTGGGACTGAACTCCAAGAAAAGTGTGCTTTCTCCATTACAGAGAACCATTTATATGGGCATGGTGTGAGATTCGACCACGATGCATGCACGTCTGTCTCCTGCTTGGATCGAGTCGATCCTCACGGCAGTCAATAGAGTGAGAGAAGGCAGTCACTCACTGTCAAACAGTTCTAGAAACTGTTGGGTCTGATGGCAGCTGCATCCAACGTGATACCTTTTGGCCTGCTGTACATGAGACCTTTGCAGTAGTGGCTCAGGACCATAGGGTTCTCCCCATGGGGCAACCCACTTCGCATGATTGAGGTCACGCGGTGATGCTTACGTGCCTTAGACATGTGGAGGAAGCCTTGGTTCAAGGCCCAGTGCTGGAGACTCCTTCTCATCGCATATGCTAATGACAGATTCATCCCTGATGGGTTGGGGAGCGTTCATGAGTAACCGCTCCACCCAGGGTCTATGGGGAAGTCACCATCTCACATGGCACATGAATTGCCTGGAGATGCTGGCCATGTTTCAAGCTTTGAAACACTTTCTCCCAGATCTGAGTGGCCATCATGTGCTGGTTCGCACAGACAGTCAATATGGGAGCAGACATCCCGTCGAGGCAGGGGCCGAGGCTCGGGGAATGGAGGCTCCACCCTTAGGTGGTGGAGCAGATTTGGAAGAAGTTCGAAAGAGCAAGCCCAGGTGGACTTGTTTGCGTCTCGAGAGACCTTACTTTGTCCTCTCTGGTTCTCCTTCTCACATCCAGCTCCTCTCGGACTAGATGCTATGGTACAGACGTAGCCGAGGCTCGCTCTGCTCCCGGGAGTTTTGGAGAGAGTTTGCCGGTATGGGGTACGTCTCCTAAGTTAATTGCTCCGTACTGGCCTGGCCAGCCATGGTTTGCGGACCTGGTAGCCTTCTCAAGACTCTCCATGGGAGATTCACGTCAAAGGGATCTCCCCTTTCGGGTGGGGGACACCATCTTTCACCCCTGTCCGGAGTTGTGGAAACTGTGGGTGTGGTCCCTGAGGGGACACAACTTGAAGCTTCTGGTCTCTCAACTAAGGTTGTTGAGACCATACTCCACTCCAGAGCTTGCTCCACGAGGAAACTGTACTCCTTGAAGTGGGTTGTGTTCACTTCATTGTGCAGATATTGTCAGCTGCTCCCAGTTAACTGCCCGGTTGGTTCAGTTCTGGAGTTCCTGTAGGAACGATTCTTTGCAGGTTTGACCACTTCCACCTTTAGAGTGTTCATGGTGGCTATAGCTGCTTACCACGTCCCTTTGGGTGGTCATTCACTGGGGGCAAGATGCGTTGGTACATGTTTCTTTTGTTGTGCTTGAGGCCAGGAGAAGTATGGTCTGCTCCAGACTTTCAGGTGCATCTGTCTTAGCGGTGCTCACCATGATTTCACACTAGACAGGCATTTGCCAGTATGGTGGCGTGGGCATACTCATTCCCTTTCAGTCGGTCACTCTCGACGTAACGTTGGATGACCGACGAATTGGGATCTCGCTTAGAGAGACCAATCTACTTCGAGTGTAAACTAAATGAGCCAATGCACATTGGCATGCGATTATTACATCCAGCTGCCACTGATCACAGCGTGAGTATTCAGCTTTTCGCTTTAGAGCCGAGCGGTTCTATCGTTCTGCTCCTGACCTTCTGCTAAGAGAAAGCTACAGTCAAGCACGCTCTTCGTGGGCTCTTGTGCTGGTGGTACGGCACTTCAGCGGCGGTGGTTTCCCGTGTTGAGTGGGTTGCACACATCAGGCTGCACTACCCCCTGTGTGTGTTGCAGATGGCCATCTCCCCTGTGCGCTTCAGCACACTAAAAGAGCAATTTCCATCTAAAAGATCTTCACGGGTGGAACGTCTTTTTAAAGACGTGTCTTTTTAAAGATGTCTTACCATCCGTGTGTTTCTGGGTGCGGTCGTTACCTGGCGCCGGGTGATGGTCAAAATCGCTGCCTCTCGTGTCTGGGCATGAAGCACGCTGAGGTGGCTTTCGTGGATGACTCATGCTCCCATTGCGGGGGTATGACCATCTCGGAGTTGCGAACCAGACTTTGTTACCTGCAAGGGGGCGGAGTGCCCGTGCCACTGCCTAGATCTGGGGTTCCCTCTGGTGGTAGCCGGGGGCACCCTTTTTCTGTCAGTGGGCGGACTGGTCTTACGGTCACGGTAAGGAATTCCCCTCCGGGGATTCCCCATCCCGCCGGCACTTCGAAACCAGTGGAACTCTCGAAAGAGCAGGCTGGACCCTCCCGGGGGTACCACCTGTTTCTTCCGAGGCTCCCCCCGACGATCGGATGTCGATTGCAGCATCGGAGGGTGAGCCAGACTTTTCTAGGGATGAAGATCCGTCAGTGTTGCTGCCCTCTGTGCGACCAGAGGTGCCAGATACTGACCCGGAAATTATGGCTATGCTTTCCCGGGCCGCCAAGAGTTTCGGGCACGAGTGGAATCTTCCCCCGCGTCCCGAACCCTTAAGGTTGGATGATCGGTGGAACGGTCGGTTGCGATGCAATTGTGTCCAAATGCCGCTACCACTTGGCGGGGCAAACCGTTGTTCCCCTCCCGGGCCTGTAGGCACTCGTCGGCTCTGATTGGCAGTGCTTATACGGCCTGTGGAGAAGCTGTGTCCGCCTTACATGCTTCGGCGTTGTTGCAAGTGCACCAGGCCAAGGCACTGAGGGACTTGCACGAGGGTGGTCACGACCCGGAAGTTCTCAAGGAACTCCGCAGCGCGATGGACCTTGCGCTATGAGCAACGAAGGTTACGGCGCGGTCTCTGGGTCGTGCGATGTCCACTATGGTGGTCCAGGAGCGCCATCTCTGGCTGTGTCTGGCCGACATGCGCGAGACGGACAAGACACGGTTCTTGAACGCCCCCGTGTCCCAGACCGGCCTTTTCGGCGACATGGTGGAGAACTTCGCCCAAAAGCAGACTGAGGCCATCAGATATATTCTGCCCCGGCGTGCAGCTGCTGCCTCTACCCGCTCAGCCTGCTCGCTGCCCCGCCCATCCAGGCTCCCACCAGACCTGGTGGTAAGTGAAAGAGCAAGAGGCTCTGAGATGTGCGACCCAGAGATGTAGGGAGTTGCTCTTCGGGAGATGGTGAACGCACCACTCCCTCCCCCGGAGGAGGGCCGGGCAGAGAATCTTTTGTTTCCTCTTTTCTGCCCCAAATACTCGACAAAAGAGCAAATTCTTCTATATCTGGGTCCCCAGAGGGGACTGGGGATTGTGGACGATCCAGTGCCGTATCACACTCACCCTCCTCTCTCGCCAGTGAGCAGCAGTGGGCGGATCGGGAGGACGAACCAACGGACTACCCACGCACCCTCTGCTCGAACGCAGGTCAGTGTTACACACACCCAGACCCCGCATCGGACCGGCTACGAGACGCCCGGGCTGGGTCCCTGCGTTCTTCCGTGCTGCCCCACTGCGGGTACGCCTGTAGTTCCGTTGATGGCACTTGCGCTGTGTCTGGGAGCCTGGCTAGAGCCTTCACAGGCTCCCGTTCAAGATGCTCATGCAGAAATGCATCTTCAGGTGTATCCGTCCCCAAGATTGGTTCGCAGCGATCGACCTGAAGGACGCCTACTTCCATGTGTCGATCCTTCCACGCCACAGGCCATTCCTGCAGTTTGCGTTAGAGGGGCGGGCATACCAGTACAAGGTCCTGCTCTTCGGGCTGTCCCCGTCACCCCGTGTCTTCACGGAAGTTACGGAGGCAGCCCTTGTTCCCATGAGAGAACAGGGCATTCACATTCTCAACTACCTAGACGATTGGCTCATACTCGCTCAGTCTAAGGATCAGTTGTGCGAACACAGGGATTTGGTGCTTTCACACCTCAGCCTGTTGGGCCTTCGGGTCAACTGGGAAAAGAGCAAATTCTCCCCGACGCAGAGGATCTCTTTTCTCGGTTTGGGGTTGGACTCGGTCGAACAGACAGCACGCCTCATGCAGGAACCTGCTCAGTCGGTGTTGAACTGCTTGAATACATTCAAGAGCAGGATGGCGGTCCCACTGAAACAGTTTCAGAGGCTCCTGGGGCATATGGCAGCTACGGCGGCAGTCACACCACCGGGGCTGCTCCATATGAGACCGCTGCAGCACTGGCTCCATGGCCAAGTCCCGAGGTGGGCGTGGCAACGCGGCACTTTCCGGGTCCAAGTTACACCGGCCTGCCACCAAACCTTCACCCCGTGGTCAGACCTTGCATTTCTCCGCGCAGGAGTGCCCCTAGAGCAGGTCTCCAGGCATGCTGTGGTTTGCACGGATGCCTCAACCACCGGCTGGGGGGCCACGTACAACGGGCTTGCAGTGTCAGGGGTTTGGATGGGGCCCCAACTGCACTGGCATCAACTGCCTCAAGTTGCTGGCAGTGCACCTTGCCCTGAGCCGTCTCAAAGGGCACTTACGAGGCAAGCATGTACTAGTCCGCACGGTCAACACAGCGACCGTTGCGTACATCAACCGACAAGGAGGTCTGCGCTCCCGTTGCACGTCGCAACTCGCCCTCCACCTCCTCCTCTGGAGTAAGAAGCATCTGAGGTCGCTTTGTGCTGTTCACATTCCTGGGATGCTCAATCGGGCAGCCGACGAGCTGTCTCGAGCTGTGCTCCCGGGAGAATGGCCACTCCATCCCGGTCCAGCTGATTTGGAGACGTTTCGGAGCCGCTCAGGTAGACCTGTTTGCCTCTCCAGAAACCTCTCACTGCCAGTTGTTCTTCTCCCTGGCCGAGGGAACACTCGGGACGGACAGACTGGCACACAGCTGGCTGCGGGGCCTTCGCAAATATGCGTTTCCCCCAGTGAGCCTTCTTGCACAGATGCTGTGCAAGGTCAGGGAGGACGAGGAGCAGGTCCTGTTGGTGGAACCCTATTGGCCTACCCGGACCTGGTTCCGCTGCTAACCACGACCCCGTAGAAGGGAAGTCGCTGGGGAAGCATGACCTGGTCGTCAGGTTCTTTAAGGGGGCGAGAAGGCTAAATTCTCCACGGCCCCCCTCTATACCCTCTTGGGACCTGACTCTAGTGCTCACAGCACTACAGCAGGGCCCATTTGAGCCTTTGCAGGCGGTCGAGCTGAAATTTCTTTTGATGAAGACTTTGCTCCTGCTGGCATTGGCCTCCATCAAGAGGGTAGGGGATGCATTTTCGGTCAACGATTCATGCCTAGAGTTTGGGCCGGCTGACTCCCTGGTAACCCTGAGGCCCCGGCCCCCTATGTGCCCAACCTATGTGCCCAAGGTTCCCGCTACGCCCTTCAGGGATCAGGTGGTGAACCTCCAAGCGCTGCCCTCGGAGGAGGCAGACCCAGACCTAGTTTTGCTCGGTCCCGTCCGAGCCTTAAGGTGCTGCATAGACCGGACACAAAGCTTCAGGACCTCAGACCAGCTCTTTGTCTGTCAGGGAGGCTGGCAGAAGGGAAATGCCGTCTCTAAGCAGAGGATGGCCCACTGGATAGTGGATGCCATCACCCTGGCTTATCAGGCACAGGGTGTGCCCTGCCCGTTCAGATTGCGAGCTCACTCAACTAGAAGTGTTGCATCCTCCTGGGCACTGGCTCGTGGGGCCTTGCTGGCGGGTGTCTTGAGTTCATGTGGAGCTGGTATCCTCCTGTGTTCTCACCTCAAACGGGTAGAAGCACTAAGAAGTCCCGGCTTCGGATCGGCTTGCTAAAACCACTCCAGAGAGTCCATATAGTAGACCCTGTTGAGCTCCTCCGTCCCCTCGGCAGCCAGACGTAGCGGAGCGTCCGGCGCCAGGCCTTCACTCCTTGAATCCTCGAGAACCAGTAGAAGGCTGGATTTCATATGTAAGACCTAAGTGGATCTCCTAACTGTGATATTTTCATAAATAGAAGTCGCGTTCTTTTTCATCTGAAACGTGCAGCGATTTATTTTCCAAAGCCACTCATATAATGCAGAAACACTCATGAAGCAAGCAAAATGCGCAACATGCATACGTATTTGTACTGGTGCAGAATGAGAGGGAGTACAGCCTAGCGCATTTCACACAGGCTGTTAGTTTCACTTTCACCAGAAATTCATGTATGCTTAAGGGTGAAAATAAATGACGTTTATAGTGAATGCCCCTATAAATTGTCTTATACTTACGATTTAGTTTTAATCCAAATGATGTGTGCTAAGTGAGCGAACATCAATAAAGATTGCACAACAGAAGTGTGCTCTCTCTCTCTCTCTCTCTCCCTCCCTCCCTCCCATTAATTAACTTGTGCATTGTTGTACTTATTTCTTTTTGACATATCCGACCGAACTACAAACTTTCCAGTGATGTCTGTGAGAAAGGGATATTCACTCGACAAGCTCGCGCATCTGCGCCGCCGCGCGCTCAATCCACTCAGCGTGATTTGCTTACCAGCTGGCGCAAATCAGCTATACAGGCATTAATACTGAATGTTTTATATTCATTGCATACATATACTTCGTAGACATCTTTAATCTCTAATTACTCCATTCTGCTGTCTGTTGCCTATGTTTCTTTGTCTGAATATGGTACTTATCACATGCTGTGTGGTATCGGCGTTTGGTATTGGGGGAAATTTTAGCAAGTATGAGTACAGGAGCTCAGTGTCGGGCCCAATACCGATACCAGTATCATCTGTGCATCCCTAGTTTCAAGTATAATTCATTTGAAGTAATGGTGATTTAAATAACATTACCCAGATACACAAGTGTTAATGATAAGTCCCCTGTGACATTGTACTGGCTACTGTATACAGGCCACCATGGCATCATATAGACTTTATCAAAACATTTGCAGATTTTCTATCTGAGTTAGTGCTGGCTACAGATAAAGTCTTAATTATTGGTGATTTTAATATCCATGTGGATAGTGAAAAAAGATGCACTGGGATAAGCATTTATAGACATTCTTAACTCCATTGGGGTTAGACAACACGTGTCTGTGAACGTGATTTCACCAAGTACAACATGCTCCTGGATCAAAAACAAAAAGTGGATCCCATTGCAAGAAACAAAAAAATCCATGTCCAGACACTCACATAGCAGGCAAAAAATATAAAAAGCCTTTATTGTAAGACAGGGCTACATATTAAAAAACACCAACGCATATCAGCCCAAGCAGGCCTTCGTCTGGGTGTTAGACAATAGAGAATGAGAACTAGTTAGATAGATACATCTGTGACTATACATTTTCAGGATCTAATCACTAGATGTCTCTTGGGTATCTAGAGAGCATCTAATTTATGTATCCAATATGTTTCTCATTGTTTTAACCCTCTAAGTCTATCTCCACCTCTGATGTTTAATGACACATGTTCAATTCCAATGACCTTCAAATTGCTGTCACTACCATGCATGGCCTGTATAAAATGTTTCGCCAACGGATAGTTCATGTTGCCAGTCCGTATTGTGTACCTGTGTTCAGCCAATCTATCACATAACCTCCTCTTGGTGAGTCCAACATAGAAACAATTGCATGGACATTCCAATCTATAAATGACATGTGTGGAATTACAATTGATAAAATCAGTGATCTCACATTTCTTCTTGTTACTCTTGTCCTCAAAAATATTTGACCGGACCATATTAATACAATAATTGCAATTACCACAACTAAAGTTTCCTTTTGGTCGTTTCAACCATGTTTATTGTTTTCGAGCTGGAAGAAAACTCCTCACCAATTTGTCCTCTATTG